TAGCTAAAAGAAACTGGAGGAGAATTAGAAGTTGCTGAGCGCATGATCTTCTTCGAGATTTTGCAATTGAAAAGTCAAAGGAGTTTAAATTTCTTATGATGGAAATGTTTATTCCGCACTATCTCCTTGCAAACATCGAAGACTAGCTTCTCATAGCTATGGATTAAAAATGTTTGAATCCATTGATCATTCATCAAATTTTCCTTTATGAACCCTTTTGTTCTTCAACTTGGAAAATGAATCTGCCAAAATAGGAGAGATAGAATTTCTGTACAAAAAATTGAGATTGTTGAGAGTTAGATCTTGAAAAAAGTAGGTTCTACCCTTTCAAAGAAATCTTCTTTGATGCAATAGAGAAGTTCTTTCACTTGAGGTACTTCAGGATAAGTGAGTCCAAAATAAATGAGATTCCACCATCCATACATAACTTGCAAACCCAACAAACCCTAGAATATTTCAATATGGGTTACCCATATATGTTATCAGGTAATATGGATCACCCAATTATGTCACCAGACAAGATATGCAATGCAAAGTAGTTGAGACATTTAATTGGATGCTTTAAGTGGCCTTTCCCAGTTGGAAAACCTAACAAACCTTCAAACTCTAAACTACATTGTTGTTGGTGACCGGATTTAGTTGGGAGATTTGAAAAGGGATTTGGAAAAAGAAAAGGTAGGTGAAATGTAAATAAAATATACCTACATTTCACATAATTTCACACACCTTTTCCATTTTCCTTCCCAAATCCTTCAACCAAACACAGCGTAAGTGATTTAATCAATCTCAATGAGCTTCACGTAGTGTTTAATGGAGAAAGCAAAAGGCTCACTCTAGACTCTATCGGTAGATTAAGAAGCCTCCAAACATTATGTTTGCGTGTGTTTAGGGACACTGTTTGGAATCCTACACTACAGTCACTTTCTTAGTGCCAGCACCTCCTTCAATTGAGGTTAAATAGGAAACCTACCAACAAAGATGCACAAATTCTTACTGAATCTCAAATACCTCTTCTTGGATGGATGGGTAATGGAGAAAGATCCTATGCCATCATTGGAGAAGCTTTCAAAGCTGACAATTCTTTACTACTACAGACTAAATAAATTTGCTTGCACTGCAGGAGGGTTCTCTCAACTCGAAATTTTACAACTTCTCAACTGTCATGTGAAGGAGTTACAAGTGGATGAAGGAGAAATGCCTTTGCTTCGGGGTTTGTACAACCCTAACAATGTCAGCATCCCAGAGAGATTAAGGTCCATTGTGTGTGTGTGTGTGTGTGTGTGTGTGTGTGTGTGTGTGTGTGTGTGTGTGTGTGTGTGTGTGTGTGTGTGTGTGTGTGTGTGTGTGTGTGTGTGTGTGTGTGTGTGTGTGTGTGTGTGTGTGTGTGTGTGTGTGTGTGTGTGTGTGTGTGTGTGTGTGTGTGTGTGTGTGTGTGTGTGTGTGTATATATATGTGTGTGTGTGTGTGTGTGTGTGTGTGTGTGTGTGTTTTCTTAACGATGTATGCTTAGTAAACTAGCTACGTGAGTAGAGAAATAATAAGATATGATTTCTCTTTTGGTTATTTGGTGAGAAAAGAAAAGAAAAGAAAAGAAAATGATTGTTATTTCTCATCATTGTGTTTGAATGAATCAAAATAAAAGAGAATACATGTCTTCATTTTTAATGTTTTGTATTTAGATAGACAGTTAGTATTTTGATTTTTTGATTTTATTTTTTATATAATTACTTTTGTCTCTTACCAATTTTGGTGAGAAACAAAACAAGAGTTTTAGGTTTATTTTTTATTTTATTATATATATTATTAAACTAATTGATACATGGATTTGTTTTGATAGAGTTTGTTTTCTTATTTGCCAAATGATGAATCCAAGCATTTAGTTCCTTGCTAGTTTAGTGAGTTAGGCAAATGAAAAGTATGTGAAGAGATATTAATCATTCAGTTATCTCAAAAATTGTGCTTAGGAAATGGATAATCATTTTACAATATACATTCGTTACGATTTAAATTAATATTGATGATGTGTAAAAAGTAGGGCAATAGTTATATCTTAGATAACATTTCCACCTCACAGTTAACAATTGTCCTACCTCAAGTGATACAATCAGCATATAGTAATTTTTTTTTTTAATCAACAAAAGAAAAAAATTTATTGATGAAATCAAGCTTACAAAGTATGAATTACAACAATAAAAGGGAGAAAAGTGCAAAGAACATCACAACATAACTTCAAGATCCCAACTAAATTGGCACAAAGGTCCAGGGGAGTCACGTGCCCCCCTTGGGTTTTGGAAATTTTATTTTATTTTATTTATTTATTTATTTTTGCAAACATAAAGAAAATATTTTTAATAAAAAAAATTATAAAATATTATTTAGAGTGAAATATCAATGACATTTTTAAAACTATGAGAATAATAATAGTTGTTTTTTTATTGAAAATAAAGACATTACGATAAGTCATATTATTATCTATGAAAATTTCAATACAATAGTGATGTGATGTCTATCATTATTGACATACAATTATAATTAATCTTAATGAAGATATGGAATTTATTGAATTGTTAGTTACATTTGACATGTGAGGTTTATCCTCTATGTGTTTCTTTAATATTAATTGGTGATATCATATGTCAATGATGACGTGATATTACTATTCTATTGAATTTTTACTGAAATTTTGTATAAAAGATTACTTTATCGTTATATAATTTATTTTAAAACTTATATCTATGACTTTTTTTTTTTTATATTGTCCATAATATTCTAGTTACAAATAATATATATATTATTTATCTTTTTTGAAGTCAATCGTAAAAATTTATGTGAAATATTTTTTGTAAATTTTTTTAATATTATAATTAATAAGTGCCCCATCTGATTTAATTTCTTAGCTCCATCGCGGTACACAATCACTTGCTAGCATAAGTCTCAAAATTGGCAAGGAACCAACAAAAGGAGACAAAAAACAACAAACTCAAAGTAATAAAAACAACACCACCACCCCCAAGCAGGCCCAAACACCAAGCTCAACAATCACAAGGCAGCACAAAACAACACAGACATAGAGCAATATCATCAGCCCACTTAGATACATCAGTACATTAGTAGTGAGCACAAAATCAGCAGCAGTAACACAAATAACCTCAAACTCTGTTCCTCATGCTCTGCTCCTCACACTTTAACTCAAGCTCTGCTCCTCACTCTTTAACTTAGCTACAGGTTAGTAGAGGAGAACCTAATCTGATGCAAATCAAAAACAGGTCATGTACTGAGTACCTGCAGTCCTTATAGCGAGCTTTGACCCATAGAGCAATTCTTACTTTTATCAACTCGCAAAGCTGCTCCATCTGAATCTGCTTCCCATTAAAGATGCACTCATTTCTAAGTTTCCAAATGGACCACATTACTGCTAGTGATATGGCATTCCAAATTTTATTTTTCAACTTCTTCCATTTAAAACTCCTCCTCCACTCAAGTAACCAGCCACCTTATCCGGCATTACCCAAATTAAACCGCACCAATTCATAAGATTCAACCAAAGCCTCTAGATAATGGGGCACCACATCAACCATGATTCACATATTCAACTTCAGCCTTACAGAAAATGCATTCAGCACTGACATTCTGGCCAATTACCCCTAATCTTTGAAGATAAACAGTTGTTTTAACTCTCCCTTTCCAAGCCAACCAACCAAAGAATTGCAGTTTTGGTGGTGTAATATTGTTCAAAGCAGTTTAGTGACCGCAATGCTATTTCTAGAGGCATTCCAATTATAAATTGTAGACACAGAAAATTGACCTGATGGGGAAGCCTTCCAAAATAAGCAATCCTCTTTAATTGAAAGGAAGGTAAGGCGGAGTTCAATATGGTAACGAGTCTTTCCAGTTATTCCTCCTCCCAAGCAAATAAAGATCTCCTAAAAATCTGGTTCCAAGTTGCTGAGATTCCTCTTCTTTCCACCATCATCCTCAAAGAGGCCTCTTTTTCTGATGACAAATCATACGATCTTGGACTGACCCACCTCACGTGTCACTCGTGTGATAATTGATATCATTTTTTACATGCATCTTTAAGAATTTTGTTTTTCATTTTTTTATTTTTTAACACATTTCTTACATCTTAGTGTTTTTTGTTTTATTTATTTTTTTATATTTTTTATTTAACAGGAATGAAAGCTAGAGGAAACAAATGAAAGTTGTTGGTGATGCTTGTGTGCCTGTTGTGCTGTTGGAGACTTGGAGTTCTTTTTTTTTTTTCCTTTTCTTTTATTTGTTGGCATGTTGGTGTGCTTGTCATGTTTGTTGTATTTGGATTTCCAATGACTTCTCTTTTTATTATTTATGTATTAAAACCTAATGTGTGGTTGTATTACTGCTGCTATTGGCTATTACTTTTTAACTGTGATGATATATATTGTTATGGACATCCATTCTACTGTCAATATATATATATTGTTAAGTTCGGTTCCTCCATGAGGTCAAGGAGCACAAAGGAAAACAGAGCATGTTGCAGAGAATTGGGTCATTAATAAGAAATGCTATAAGGAGAGTCCCTGATTCAAGGGTTAAAACTTGACATTTTTGCAGACTAAGGAAATGTTGGCCCAAAATCCACCACCACCACTACCAATAAGACCACCACGGTCATCACCGGCGCCACAAACGAAAGCCATCTCTTTCACTACGACTAATGCTGTAACAAAACACAAATTTCTTTGTACTTTTTTTTTTTAATAGATAAATTACACTGACAGCCACTAAGATTTGTCTTTGATACAGTCTCCCTTTGATGTTTGATGGACTTGGGTTGTAATGAGGGGCCACTTGTCAGTGAGGTGAAGTTTCAAGTTCGAGTTAATAGAATGTCATCGACTTGCTATAGTAATTTATCTATTACCTACTAACATCCTACCATGTGGCACATAAAATAAAGGGTTTTCTCTCTCTCTCTCTCTCTCCTCTATTTTTTCTCAATATTGTGGCTACATTTTGGGTATAAAACTTGGTATTCAAATCTCATTCACCTCACATTATGAAAATGCTTAGCAAAAAAGCTGCACTAACATTACAATCTTATTAAGACAACATAGCAAAGCCACAACAAACTGCAAAGATGAAATACAAAATTGAAAAATATAAAGCTAATCACTTCGAATTCTTTGGCAGTGGTGTGTCTGCAAACTGATATGTGGTGTGATGATCTTTTTCAAACATTCTAGGCCCTGCTACATCAAAGATCGGCACTGCATCAGAAATCTCTTTTAAATCATCTTCTGTAAGCTTCACTCTCAGGGCACCAATGTTCTCATCAAGGTTTTTAATCTTAGTTGTTCCTGCAAATGTACAATCAGAGGTCAAATACTAACTTTACCATTCGAAACACAACATTTAGGAGCACATTTGGAAAGTTTTGGGTTTGTTTTCAAAACCTATTTTTGGAAAAATACTGAAAACTAGTGTGGTGAAATAGATACCAAAAATCAATAAGGATTCTCTCTCTCTCTCTCTCTCTCACATCCATTTATTTCGTTTCCTTCCTCGTTACATTGTTTTGCTGCAAGTTACAGAACACTTGTAGAACAAAAATCAAACCCGATTTCTAAAATCTAACAATAAACATTCCAACAATAACATTAATTTAATCTTTCAATCTACCATTTTCCCTTCATAGTTGTTTGATTTCAAGAACTCAATACAAGAAGAGATCCCATGGTTCTTGAGCTGGTTTTGTTTTAACTTCCTAGAATTCTTAAATTGATTAACTTTGCCTTGATTGCATAAACATCCACTACACAAATTATTAAAACATTCTACACATCCAAATATTATTAAAAAAATTCACAAATTTTCAGAAAAACTAATCAAAAGTAATCATTCAATAGAAATCATGTTTAATTTAATTCAAAAGCAAAAAATCATATTTCGGCAAGGTTTACGTTGAATTGTAAGAAAGACCACAATCTCCTACTTATCAAACTTGTAGCATTTTTGACATAGCTTTTCTCACATTTACTTCATTACCAAGAAATCAAAATTTTGACGAGTCACTCACTAGGTATAGGTACCATATCATCCCTTTAATGAAGAATCCATGCAAGTGCGAGTTGAACAGGAGTGCAACTATGCTTCTTAGCCAACTCTTTTATTCGAAGATAAAAGATCTTGTTGTGCTCTTAATTCTGCCCTATAAACTTAGGATGTGATAGCTGATAGAAAGATTAAGTTAGTCATTCATTCATATAATTATTTGACTAACCAAAACGAGGAAATATCTGAATGAATTTGCACTCCATTTGTTTCAGCAAAAAATATTTTCCTCTATTTGGTTGCGACCTTGGGACTAATGTACTACTAGTTGCTGTATTAGTGATGGCATTGGTGGTTGTGGTAGGGACGTGGAGGTGGGGGTGGTAGTGCGGTGGTGTTACTAAGACCTTGGTTTAGAAAACGTTTTCTACCTTCCAAAAACTTTAAAAATAATAATAATAATTCTACTTAAATAAGTTTGTTTTTTGTTGACCACAGAAAATGTTTTCTGTTGACTTTC